TCCACAAAGAAAAAGGGCACTCTTGTATAAATGACATAAGTTTATACAGTTGTCTGTCTTGTCACCCTCCTATCTTCTGAAATTCTTGAAACCCAAAAATAATATTAAGATTAGCCTGAAAATTTATTCTCATTAATGAACCGCTCCCCTCCCCCTACCCAACCCCACCAAAGAAGAAAAAGCTGCCAGCTTTGCTATTTACCAACATCTGTATAATTATTTTATTTTATCTACTTTATTTTTTATTTAGGCACACAACACATGCACCAAAGATTATCAATAGCGAATATATCACTGTCCTACTTGTAGGTGACAATTCCTTTCACAAGACAAACATACACGCAAGATGCTTTACACAAACTAAATCTCAATATGAGGTTTAGGCAGTGGAGTTGTTTTGGTTGTGAGAAAAACAACCTGCAATAACAATGACAGGAATTGAACCCAGGACCCTGGTATTAGAAGGCAAGCATCTTAACCACCAAGCTATTCAACACCACTTACAGTCATAACTACCGCACCAAGTACCGAGTGGAATTGGCCAATGAAATGTTACACATATTACCTAATTAACATTTTAATGAGGCATAGTAAAATGTTATCTGGTATTGCTAGTTTCCTTAGATTATGTTATTTACCTGTCACTAGCTGCTTATTCTTGAACACCCTCTGAAGTTTTCCAGTGGTTATCAATTCCTTCCCGCATGGGATGTAGTCATTATCCAGGCAATTTTCTAAATCGTGGTAGTGCAATTCTCGCAAGCTTGTCCAGCACAGGACACGGAACTTATAACACGTGTGCTTCATTCCCGATGTCAGCACTTTCATCTCTTTCTTCAGAAACTCTAACACCTTAAACAAGAATTCGTAAAATATTAAAAAATTTTAATCTAAAACATAACAAAAAATTAATGAAAAAAAATGATATGTAATATAAGAGAAGAATCACCAAAAACACTGGTTTCACAGTTTGAATTGTTAGATTTTATGATTTAATTGACTTGATATGCTAAACAATAAAATTCAACAATAAAATACAACAATTTAACGGACAAAAAAAAAAATGCTATATTAGAAACACACCACCAAAAACGCTTTATGGTTTCAGGTTTTTAAATGTTGGATTTTATATGATTCAATTGATTGATGATGCTCAACGACACAATGATATTGCTATTCATATCGTTACCATAATTATTGTCATACTTAGCAGGTTTTTTTACATAATACATTTAGCTGTTCAGATCACAAAAGAGCATATTTGCAAGATTTAATTTATCAAACTAAATTACCTGCATACATACTCTAGGGCTGGGTTCACCAGTTAGTGTCTTCGTACCATCCTCCTGAGTGATAGGCATCCGTAATATTTCCAGCTAAAATACAAACATAAAATTAATAATTCGATTGTGAATGCCAATAAATGTTGTCAAAGTCATGTGTACAGTGCATATAATACGGTTTATTGTGAATGTCTGTGGGATATTTTCAATCCTTATTTCTTATTATATCTCTGAAGCTTTCATATGTGTTAATAAACATGTCTGAGATTACATTTCATGAAAAATGTTGTCAAGATCATGTGATCCACAAGGTCAAATTCATGGTCAAACCTTATTAAATTATGGCAAAAATACGGAATAGTTATTGAATTCCCTTTCCAACATCACCGATTTTGTGAAGATTGACCCAGTAGTCTGTGAAATACAATAGTTCAAATGTAGACGGCCATGCCCGTTTTTGCCGAAAATCTCAAAATTTGGATGGCTGTATCTCCCAAACCCTCACTCGACTAACCTAAAATTTGAGATTTGGTGCTGTGAGATCACACTTAAAAAGTACACTAAGTTTCATCAAAATCAAAAATTGTTGGGTTAAACCCATTGGGTGATTTGACATGGAATGACCCTAATTTCAAAACAACTTATAGAAAGATACTATTATCATTTTTAAAATCATATAATGCCATTCCAAAAATTCACCCTATTGTCTCATCTATTTATACCTATAATTACAACCTAGCCAAATATCTTTGCGAATTATTAAGTCCTAATTTACCATCTGATTATATTGCTAATGACACGTTTTCTTTTGTTAAAGAAATTAACAGTATCGATATCTTAAATACATTTATGGTATTGTACAATGTTGAAAGCTTGTTCACCACCATCTCATTAAACGAATCAATTTCATTAGCTATTGATTATATCCTGACAAATAATACTGATTGTAAATTATCTAGGGAAGAACTTAAGAAGCTCTTTATGTTTTGTACCTACTTGTAGGTGACAATTCCTTTCACAAGACAAACATATACCCACAATGCTTTACACAAACTAAATCTCAATATGAGGTTTAGGCAGTGGAGTTGTTTTGGTCATGAGAGAGTTTTGTACCTCTAAAACTCATTTTCTTTTTGACAATGAATTTTATTTGCTTCAACCGTCTTCAGGAGAATAATATCTGCAGAGATCTCAAACAGGGAAATATTTATATGTTTGAGTGATGAGACTTGCTGCTGATTGGTTGAAAACTAAACAAATCTTCCTACCTTCAATGAGGGCTTGTTATTAATGATTACTGGTCCTAAGCTGAGAGTGTGTTCAAGTCCTAGGCGGATGTTTGCATAGTTGCTAAATAATTCCAGCATGGCTGTGTAGCCCATGTCTTGTACCATTGAAATCAAGCTCACAACTAGAGGATGGAAGACACTATCAGGGATGAAATCCTCGGAGGCCATATAGATAGATACCATCTGAGCTGTGTCACGTTCAATAGACACATTGTCCTTGCTACGTTTCAATCGACAGGGCACGAAAAACGAGCGATATTTGCTTTCCTGATTCTTGAGAAAATAAACAAATAAATTAAATTAAAAGGTAGAAAAATAACAGAAAAATGTACATATTATGTTACCTGCTTTTTAAATAATCAAATGTACTGCAATGTAATTGGCATATAAGTAAGAGTAACATTCTTAAAGTAATTTAAACTCTTTTTTTCCCAAAAATAATTTGCTCAATTTCATTTTAAAATGAAAAGATGGAATGATTCACCATTTATGTATGCATTGCTTTGCTTTTTAAAAATTCTATATTTTAAAATAAATTCTTATTAGGATTGATTGTACTATGCATTAAGTTAGTTAAGGGGCAGGTCAACTCATCATTAACTAGCTGTATGGCTAGTGACTATCTGAACTCTCCAAATACTTGCCAACAAAAAAAAAAAGAAAAGAAAAAAGCAATACCTTGATTTGCTCGCAGAGCAGTCCAAACTGTTTCATTAACTCCAAGAAGACCTCACAGCTAGATTCATTTTTGCTAATCTCATCTCTCCAAAGATGTCTCACTAACTCTTCCTCAAGTATACCTTCATTATCAAGTTTATTCCACAGCTTGATCATTGAAGCCAACTGAAAGTAATGATAATTTTAAACATGTTATCACTCTGTGATGTCTGGAAGGGATGATGCCTGGCAGGGAATTTCTACTTAACTCACCTTATCAATGTCATCAGGTTCCACCACTGTGATGATTTTCTTGAAGATGTCAATCAGCTTCCGTGGGTTTGTTATCACTGTGTCCTTCAGCAGTTTGTTGTTCTCAAAGTACAGAATTATTCCAAGATCATGTAGGTAGTTGAGAGTGTGGATCAGATTCTTTACAGAAATTCCGCAACTGGTGGCGACTTCACAGACCTTAATATATAATTAAAAATGTATAATATAAAAAAAATAAAATGTGGAAGTGTAAACAGAACACTTTTGCTCACCATTAAAAAGTAAGCTTGGGGAATTTAGGATGCATTTTTCTTGGATGGATACTAAATGGAGTGTCTTTTGGAGAAGGGGAGGGGGCATGGAGGCAGTTGGGGTTAAGTATTAAACAATTCTTTTTAATGTTTATAAACATTTACATACCTTAGAATAACTCATTCGCACTGCTATCCTACCATTCTCCTGCAAGTTACGCTGGAAATCAAGCCATTTGAGCGGGACGGTTTTGGGCATTGCTTCCAGAAATCCACCAACATCTTGTTTAAGTGTTGTCAGCATCTCGCTTTGCGTTGGAAACTTGTTGTCAATGGCATACATTTTCCTCACAACGTGACATTCATACGGAGTGCCTTCGATTTCTTCAAATATTATTCCAAACTGTTCTTCAATCTGAATAACAATATATGAGCATTACACAATGTTCAAAATGTTAATAATCAATTGATTATGCCACAAGTTCAGATTACATTTTACCTTCTTCTTCTTGTCTTCAGCCGTTCCCTGTAGGCTCTCGCTGTGAGTACCGACCACCACAATTTGAGGTTTCTTGGCTTGTAGCTGAGCCTGTGGTTGTGACTCAACTGGGACAGCGTACGTAAATATCAACCTCATCCAGTATTTGATAATCTGTATATTTGTCATATTGTACGTCATCACACCTTTTTCCTGATGAAGAAAGAAAAAAAGATTTTGACATGAATGTTGAATGAAAGAGCGGTTAAGGCTGGGGTGCCCCAACGTAAAGCCACAATATTGACGCTGGTGCGAACAGCACGCTCGCATATGGTTCTGGTGGTGGGACAAGTCTTTACGGATAAGGACTATAAACCGGAGGCCCAGTGTATGCAATTTGGCTCATGTGCACTTCAAAGAACCCAGTACATATTTCAAGATGAGTATGGTAATGGTCTCTTATACACATCT